AAAAAAAAAAAAAAAAAAAGCAAAAATCTCTGTACAATTTGTTCTTTAGTGTCAAGACAACTCTTCTTAAGTAGGACCTATTTGCTTATCTTTAATCAGCCTATGAGCCACAGTCTTGAAAAGGAGACAATCCTAACTCATCTCCATGGATCAGAAAGCAAAGCACGAAGCTGACCAGCCAAAGAACTTAAGTGTTAGGTACTTCTGCACAGTAAAGAAGTTTTAAATACACAAATACATGCATACACAACACCTAAAATGGTAAGTGAATCCAGAGAAGATGGACACGAGGAACAGCAGGTGTTGTATGCGGATGGCTGAAAACCAGTCACGAAGGAGCCCAGCAGGCCAGACGGCCACGATCCAGAATGAGCGCAGGGCCAACAGCAGCGCTGCTCGCTCCTGGGTAAAGAACGGGCCCACTGTCGGGCACCAGGGCCTGCTTGGAACTGAGGGGCCCTGACACTTGATGAAAGCGAGTGTGTAGACAGAGAACTAGGCTATCTGCTATCATCTGAACGCACAAAGGAATATTATTAAAAAGCTGTATGGCCAATGTCCACGCTGTTTATTTCAAGGAGAAAAAACCTCGCCGTTTAAAAACAAAACAAAAACACAACACATGATTCTCCCAGAAACCACAGTGACTGGCATTTTTCATTTCTCTTTTATCACAGCATACAAAAATCAACAGAAACACACTAAAACATACCCTCATAACCCTTAAATTAGCAGATTTAAAATTAACTCTTGAAGCGGTATTTTGTTATATTTTGATTCAAACTCTATTTACAAATTAAATTGCACTTATAAAGATAGCAACATTTCTATGACTGTAGTATAAGTTATTTTACTATATTGTGGTCTTATATCTGTATATAAAACTTTTAAAGCTGTCCAGTAAGAATCACTTTGTTTTGCAGTACTGAATTTATCCACCAAATTTCAGAACCAGTTTTCTCTTTTTGTGCTTTTCTGCTCTATTTTATTGTACAAATGGCACATGCCTTTGGAGTGGACACAGTTTGACACTGCACTCATTAAAAAAAAAAAAAACTTATTCATGAAAAGCTAAAATGTATTATTAGCATTCTAATCCTTTGGTTCATCATTCAAAAAAAAAATCAACCAATATAATTTACACATCATTGGTAATTCATCTTTTTGGTTAAAAACAAATCCACCAAGTAGATTGCTGATTAAAATCCAACACTGCTTAAAAAGTACCACGTTCCCATTCTCATCTCACTGCTCAAAGATGCCACTGTTCACAACTGGTCGGACAGGACACAAGACACAGTAAGGCACAAGTGGATGGTACAAACAGAAACAAGTACTTTAGGACTGCTTCATTTTCCTGCACAAATCCTAAAATATGTACCGTCTTCAAGGTAAAATAACAAAAAGAAATACATAATTTTGTTATGAAATACCTATACAAAACTTTAAAAATTTACACCATCTGAGCTGCCAAAAGAGATTTTAAAAGTATCAATTATTCCCTGTACACAAAACTACCTCTCTTTGTAAGTTCAAGAGAACTTGGGTTCAAAATGTTCCAGCCCTGTATGGAAGGAAAGAGGATAAACATTCTCCTTCCTGCTCTCTCTTACCCCAACATAAGACAAAAACGAAGGTCAGATGTTTACAGTAGTGCATTCTACTTATTAACAACAATTGAAATTTAAAAAAAAAAAACAACCCAGGAGACCTCTGAAGCGGTGACTGGATGAGGGACAAGTAAGGCACTTGCTGGGACAGAGAGCAGCGTCCCAACCCGGATGGCAGATGACGCAGGTGCTGGTGAGGACAGAGGATGCTGCGGCTCCTGGGAGGCAGGCAGGCATGTCAGGACAGCAGGGGAAGACACAGGAGGTAAGACTCGGCAGTGACGCTCTACACAGAAGTGGTCACTCGGTCAACGGCGTGATTGACCTCGTTTTTGTTTGAATCCAGTCCTTTAGCAGCATTCATATCATTCCGTAAATTCTCCACTGTCTTTTTCATGTGCTTCAGCTCCCCTGGGTGCGGAGTGGCTCGCCTTAGAAGCGTTCTCTAAAAATAAACAGTACAATGAGTGTTTTCCTTTCATTCCATTATTTTTTTCAAATTATGCAACTTTAAGGAGTTAGCATTCCAAACAAATCTTACAGTCTTAGCAAGCACAAGTTAATGTGGGTGGAAAAGCTTCCTTCAGAGCTGTGTGCATTTTCCCACTGCTCATGGGTAGTAATGGCAGGTAAAAGTGCTCCATGGAACTTGTCTAGTCAGAGCGGAAGCAAAAGGACACCGCTGAAACTATGAGATCAGTGTAAAATAAAGTTTCTAGAAACAAAATAATCGAAAAGTTATGACATAATTATGGGGTGTAGAAGAAGAAGACAAGTGCATAAATAATAAAAAGTCCTAAATAAAGTCACTATAATGTTCTGTACCCAAAGCAGTCTTAGTTTCCTTTAATCCTTCAGGCACAGGAAGTGAAAAGAAAGGGAAGGTTTGAGAGAGCGATTTCATTTCTTATTTTGGTGCTGTGTGTACTATTTATATGACCCACTCAAGAAAGTTCATATTCTTTTAATGAACTACAGTGCTGGAGGGTAAGAGACAAGGTGTGGATGATATTTAAAATTTGGTATCATTTAGCGTGTTGCATGCTATTTAGCAAGTCACAACACAGAATGTGTATCTCCAAAGTGACCTATTCTGGAACTTCAAGAGGAAGCATCCTGGGCAGACAGATCCTGGATGAGCATCACCAAGGCCAGGAGTGACTGGGGAGGTAACTGCTCTCTGACAGGTGTCACAGTGGGCACTAAGGAGACGTTAAGGTTGAAGTCATTTTGTCATATCTAATGCCCACCGCTCACTCTACTACTGTAAATGCTGCAAGTACCATCTGGTGACAGATGCAATAACA